GAAGAAGCAGAAAACAAAGCAGCAGCTTAGGAGAATCACCATTCCCACATGCTTAGATTAGGTTATTTTTCCAATCACGTCTAATGAAGTTTGACACTGCACCATAAAGGTAGGATAGGAAAACTCGTGGTACCTGAATTACGGCACAAGTTCAACTCAAACCCTTTTTACCACAAAGGAATGTTTTGTATTTCCTTTGTTACTTATTTAATGTTACCTATTTCCTAATACATAACAGGAAGATTTCAAGCAACAAAATGTTTTCACTTCACAACATAAAGGTTGCTCTAGGGGTGCATGGATAAGGTTTGCTAACTTCTGAATTACTAACTCTTAACCTTACTGAAGTAACTTTGTTTATGTTCAAAAAAATGCACCAATTTTAGGAGGCACTGATGCATTACCTAAAATTACAACCTACAACAAAGAGAATATGGTAAGGGGTAGCAGTACGTGCACTCTGCAGAGGCAAAAGACTGCTAGTTCTCTCTACCTGAAGAAGTCCTATCATGGAAACCACAGTAACAACTGTAGAACACTTTCAGAGCCCAAGTACGTCATGATATCTCCCAGTAGAGTTAAGGACTTCTATAAATTTCAGTTATAACATTTGCGATGTACTGGAGGGGAGGGGAATAGAGGGAAGAGCTATTACAACACTAGGCTAGAACATGAAAAGTAAAGAAGGAAGTACTTAAACTACTCACAAGCTTCTAGTAGGAACAAGATTAGTAGTACATGCTACTCTCCGAGCCAATTCAAATGCAAATTCCATCCTTTCTCTCAAACAATGATAAACTCCCTCGGAGTTAATAGTTTCCTTCTAAGACTCATCTCTCTTTTCAACTTAGTGGTATGTTTTCAAAAAAAGAAAGAAGCACATGGTGAGTCTACAGCAAGACCTTTTAAATTCTGTCATAAAAGAAGTTGTATAAACTACATTTCCTTTACTAATCCAGTGAACATTTGTTAAACTCCAACACATTTATACTGTGTCCACGCTATCACATTTAGGCTTCTAACTTACCATGATTTAAAAAGAAAAAAAAAGAAAGAAATCCTTTAGCTGTACTAAACCATTTTAGCTTTTTCCTTGAACACACAGCAAGAATTTATGCTACACTCACAAAAAGATGAAAGATGAGGTCCTTGGAGAGAAAGGCCTTTTGGCACGCTACATGGCAAAGCTACAGCTTTGACACACTTTTATAAAGTCTGCTTTGGCGAGAACACAAAAACCCCATACAAAAGCATGCTACGTCCTCCCAGATAGGGGTGGAGGGGGACTGCCTTACTCTTATGAGCATTTACTTTCAAATTTTCATACTTTAGAGACTATTCTGATCTGTTACTTTAGACTAACAAATTCTTTTTCTGCACCAATAGTTTGACAGTTATGTTCCAATTCTCCTCAAAGCTCGTTCTAACAAGAGAGAACCTTTGGCTCAGGCCCAGCAAAATCCTCAAATTTGTCACACATTTCTGATGAATTATGTGCATCAATTTTAAGATCATAAAGTGCTTTGAGAACTGAAAGCAAGTGGTTAGCATAGTTTTGGTTTCTTTAGATAGGTATTTAAACCAAAACCTCTAATCATTTCTTTCTACCTGTGCATCTCAAAAGTTCTGGTGGAGAAAAATAAATGTTATAGCTGAGGTTCAAAAATAACAAACGCAGTTTGAGGGTAACAGTCATAAGCACGCACTACGTCAAAAGTGTCGAATGCCACATGATCTTCCAGAAGTCCAGAAGCAATGACTTATAACAGAAACAATTAAAGTTCCTTGTAGTTTACCTCAATGTCTATGAATTTTTAATATTACAAGATGTCAAGACAAAAGCATAAATCAGAAGTAAAGACTTCATAATCTCACAGAATGCATTCTTCCTTCCTTTACATGAGATTTAAAAACAGGAAAAGAAAATCAGTTAAATAATGGTATTCCATATGAGCATCTATTTTGCTCTTAAATCATGCACTGAATAAAATAATTCCAAAGAATAAAAGAATACCAAAGACACAGGTCCCCTCATGAAAACTTACTAAAAATTAAGACTGAAATAAGTAAGAAAACACTATACATATCCAAACAAGATCATCTATGAATGTATAAATAAAATCACTAGCATAACTTTAAGGTACAATTTAATTAGGAAATCTGTAATATATGGAAGACTTCATGCACTAGAAATACACAAATTACCAATCCTGAACACAGATGTTTAATTTCTAAACAATTCAGAGGAGAAAAGGCCAGAGAGCCTATAGCTGAACCAATCCAGCAATCTTTCCTTTCTCAATTCACACACTTCATTCTAGTTTGGCAGAGCTCTGTCTTGATTCAAAGAAAACAATTCACGATTTATCAGCTTTCATGAGCAGAAAGCACCTCCTGGGTGTTCTGGAGCTTACATTTCTAGAAATCAAATCATATGACAATTTAGGCCAGAAGGGACCTCAGGTCTCAAGTCCAACCCCTTGTGCAAAGCAGGGTCAGCTGTGAGGTCAGGTTCGGGCTGTCACGCAGTCCTTAAAATCGCAAAGGTTGGAGACTGCACAACCCGCACCCGTGTTCAACACCTCGCTGTGTGCATGGTGAACATGTTTCTCCTGATATCCTGTTAGAACACCTCGTTTCCATCTATGTCACCACCTCTCGTCCTCCCGCAGTGACTGGCATGACAGCCTGTCACCTTGATGAACATCTCATAGGTATGGAAGGCTGCTGCACAGGTCCCCTGAAGTCTTCCCCAAGCCGTACAAATCCAGCACTCTCAACCTCTCCTTGCAGGTGCTCCAGCTCACCTGCCATCTTTGTGGTCCTTCAGGAACACATTCCAATTTATCAATATCTTTCCTGGAGCCCAAGACAGTCTTTCTTCTTTTATAGTCACCTGCCTTGGAAACTGATGGAATTTTCCACATGGTAGACAATGCATAATGCTCTCATCTATTTAGAAGGGTTTTAACTAAGTAAACATTTAAGATTGTAAGATTGTTAAGTAATATACAAGCAATGAAGCTACTTGAATTTACAGTTGTCTGCTAGTAGTTAATAACAGCAGTAAATATTTCCTATATCTGCAAGAAGCAAACGAATCATGAAATATATTAAGGCCTTTAATTGCATGTGATATTTAACAGTCACTTGAAAAATACCCTTTCCTACACAAACTTTTTAGCTATTATTAACAAACTGAAGGCATATTTTATCATTCCAGAAGCCAGACAGTCTCCCACACCAGGACTTTTACAGCTTTGGAGCAATCCATTTTCCTCAAAACTATATTAGAAAATTGATGTAAGAATGAAATGCAATTTAAGTGATCAATACTATTATGATACTGAACATAAACTTCAAAGTCAGTTGTCTTAGCCAATTTTGGAATCCATCGCATAGGAAGAAAGGTTTTTAAACATGCCTGACAATTTGCTCCTTACGCATTTTTTATGTTTTGCCTTTTTTAATAGCAATTGTTCCTCATCATTTAATATACGTTCCTCTGACTCCAGTAAAATACAGATACATACTCTAGGTTTTCCAGCATAGAATAGCTAGCCAATGAAGAAGGGAAGACTGCAGAGACTCAAACAACAGATCCTGATGAGAACAGAAGGACGAAATATTTGGAGATGTGCTGATCTAAACCTTCTGTGAATAAGGGGCATCTCTTAACTTTCTTTTTAAAATGTGGGGAAAAAAATGCTTAAAGATTATTTAGACAATTAATTAACTTCAGAATGTATAAACTATCTTTTACACAGTAAAAGCAACTGAAGGTTTTGCACTTACAACTGAACAGAACAAACTTAAAAACACAACTGAAACTCCTACAGAATCAGCTGGTTTATAGAACAAGACGTATACTAAATTCTCCAATTAAAAACCTGTAAAGTAGTTTCAGTGCTTTTTAACCCACCTTCCCACAGCAGGGAATTAATCCCTCCAGGGGGATGCAAACACACTTCAAAGAGAAGATTATACCCAGACACTGGTACTGTACAATGTAATGTTTACGGTCAAATTTGTTCAGATTTTCTGGCACTAGAATCCAGGTCAGATGTGCAGAAACAAAGATTAGTTATTAAAAGGGCTCCTGCAGTTACATCTAGTAGTTGTGACGGTGCACAACAGTAGAACAAGCCAAAACTGTATTCCGGTTACAACTACTATGGAGGTTTTGGCACTAAAGGAAAAAGAGTTGCAGCAATTTTACCTTCACAGATGACAAAATCTTTACCTACAGATAGAGAAGGAGATAAATGGCTTCCTAGTCAAAGAAAGATCAAAATCCTTTCTACTGGTTTGTTGTACCATACATACAAAACACAATATTCTTTCATTTAAAAAAAAAAAGGTACATTATTACTTCAGTATATGTTGTCCAGTCCTATTCAGCATCTCTCCTTTTTGTAACAATCTAGAAACTGATATCACAAGACATCTTGAGATAAGTTCCAGGTATAGGAATTTCAACTTGATTTTATCAACTACACCAGCTGCACAAAGAAAAAAGGTATAACAAACATTCACAAATACACTTACATGCAGGTTTCAGCTGTTATGGGACTTCTCTAGCGTAAACATGGAATATTTCTCAGAAATTTTGAGTACAAATGTAGAACACTTTTGTGAGCATGTAAGAAACAGTAAGTAAATCAAATTTCATAGAAAACTATTCGGAGTATGTTGTGATTAAACTTAACCATTCCTTATGCGTGAGCAGCAAATACAAACCTGAAAATGCATTTATTTCTTCAACACAATGAAGTAAGAGCTTTTTCTATTTACAAAGACAAGGAATGCTGGAACCTCCACAAAAAAGGACAGATTCTCATTATTAGTTCCAACTGTAGAAGATTCTCTTTGCAGAACCAGTAAGACATCTATAAATCCAGACCAGCATAATATTGAATATACCTTATTATTTTACACTGCATGGTTCTTCAGGATAGTTTTTGCCATGAAACAGATAAAATTACAGTGTAAAACATTACCTTTCCCAATGCAACTGATGCCTGAATAAGTTACTTCTGCATACACTTCAAAGGTAGTTTCCGGATTTTGTCTGAAAGGAAAAAAAAGGATTTAGCTCTGAGAATTTCTGTTTCCAAATACATTTTTAATTACTCTAAAAGTCTAGACAGGTTCTAGGAACATACATATTACTATGAGAATTTGATAAAAATGGTTATCTTTTTTATTTGATCACCTCAGATTTTTCAGCCTCACAGGTACACACCAGGTGTACTGAAGTTGAGATTAGCTGGGAGAAATAGCATCTAAATTCTACTGGGCAAATACAGTTAAATAAAATCTAATAGAAATCAAGCACAGATCCTTTATGTCATTTCATTTATTTTGACTAGATACAGCAGTGTCACAGAGCTGTCATTCAGGAGCACTGCCAAAAAAAAAAAAAAAGCTTTTGTTCCAATCCTTGGCCATAATATTAAATGTTATTACACATCCAGCTTGCAAAAGGGAAGAAAGAGAACAACCTCGTCTTACCCAGCATCCCAAACCAAGAATATAAACATGTCAAGGAGCTGAGCCCATTCCTCAGGCAATTTATATCATCTTTGTCCTACTTCAACAGCAAAACTTATTTAAAAAAACAAACATTTCTACTCATGCCACAAACCCAGTTCCCACAGCTGAAGTGGCACTAAGCCAAACCCTAAACCTATCTAAATTAATAGAAAGCCTGCCACTGCTTTAGGATATACTGCCACTGCTATAGGATCACACTCTACAGTTTCACAAACCACCTCTCAGGAGCAATGATATTGTTCACAACTCAATTAATTTTAATTTATTTTTCCACAAGTTCCATCCAATTTGCATGCAGGAACCATTTTTCAGGAAACCACACTGGTAAGTCACAAAAAAACTAAAATCAACAAATTGTTGCTTTGAATTATGAATAAACCTGCAAATTCTCTTTGTGCAACACAGAGGCGCTGCAGCACATCATTGTGTCAGATATTGAGATTCTTAGCTACACTCCTACCATCATGGCACAGGATGACTACATGATATGGCATCTACTTAACATCAGAAATGAGCTTTCCTTTAAGATACACTGCTGTGCAGTCTGACCTTACCAAACTTGTTCATACCTATTTTTAGCACTAAGTTTTCTCAATTTATTTTATAAATTTTCCAATACTTTTACAACTAATAGATAAAATAACAAACACCTTTTTAGTATTATATTAAGGTCTGTGTTTAAATTCTTTAGTGAAAATACTTCTTAATGCAGCTGGCAGGAACACGTACTATATACCAAAACTTTCAAATCAAAAGACTTTAAATTTTATATTTTAATATCCCATGACAAACATCCACTTATTTCTACAAACAGTTCAGTAAAAGTAACTTTGCCAAGTTAGAAACTTGGTATTAAAGACTGCATTCAACAAGCGAACACCTCAGTATGAGAATGAAGTCAGCAGGAGAATGAAGTCATTGTTAAATTCTGAATATTTTAAAGCTTTTCTGCAGAATTAAGGAAACAACTCACTGTGAGACTTCATACACTCTGCAAATACAGCATAAACATGCACTAATATGTATATTTTGCAGCCCCTTTTTATGATTGTTAGCCTCCCCTGCAGACAGCTGATACCACGCACGCACTGTACTGAAATCTCATCCCTGACGTTGTTCACAGCATTATGAACTTCAAAACTCACACACGGTTTTTTCCCTCCAAAAAACTTCCAGGTAACTTAAAGAGCCACGGTCAGTTATCAAGAGAACAACACAGATGTGACCAAAAAAATACATGGAACATGTGTGTAAATACCCTACTTGTTTGATGACCGAATAATCAGAAAAGTGCAATTTTTTATGAGTAGTAATTTAAATTGAGTTCTATGAGAAAAAAATACTGTTGTGATAAACCCTATTCATAGGAATTATTTCAAATCTGTTTGATGTATGAATAGCTGTAGTATCACAGCAATTCACAGGAAACTCAATCTTAAAATGAAATATTTTTTAAACTAAGCCTTACACAACTGTTACAGTCAAAATAATCTCTGTTACCAAAGTGCAAGGGACTTATGAATAAACTCTTGATATCTATCAACTCTTCAAGAAAAATATATTAGATCGAGTCCATAGTTGCAAATCCAATTCAGAAATCACATTTCCAACCCTATATTTTCACCTTTTCTGCCATGTATTCCATTCCTTAAGTAGATAAATGTTACATCTCTGTACATAGCAAGCTCTATGATAAAAGTCTCAGGCTAATGTTAGGGTTCTCTTCTTTCAGCAGTGAAACAAAATTGCCTCTGAAATGAAGATTGGCACGAACACATTTAAAAAGCATTTAACACTGAAGGTTACCAGGAAGTGAGAGCAGCCAGGTTAAGCAAATTCCTATTTTGTCAGTGTCTCTGGAACAAAGCACCTTGCACACGCCAATGTTCCAATGCGAGGCTCAACTCAACAGCAGAACCCAGTGTTACCTTTATTCACCTGAGGCTATACACAAGCCCAAAGCTTATGGGATTACTGGCAGCTTCCTAATTTCTTCCACTTTGTTTCGATGCAGCTACTGGTAACCTTCTTTAAGCAGTCTTTCACTTTAATGATTCATTACTATAAATCCATCAAAAATATAACTGACACATACGCCTGGGTTTTATGCAGAGCATATCGCAGTGATCAAGTGCCAGGAAGCTTAATATCCCTCATAACTGTTGATCTATAGCAAGAAGTAAGAAACCTGACTACAGGAATTTTGCTAGGGTTTCAAGATTCTTTGGCATCAATCAAAATGCAAGAGAAGGCAAACACTGCTTGTGGATCTGATACATATACAGTGGAATCACATTTCAAGTTAGTCTTTGGTAGTCTTTCAGTTGGTTTAAAACAAGATCATAAAAAGTAACTTCAGACCATATTCTTTAAGTGACCAATACAAAGGTGACAGCTGTGAGGCCCACAGCTGCAAGCTGCAGACAAAACCTTCACTCTGCTGCCAAAATGGCAACAATTTTAGGTTCTACCTTTACTTGGAATGCAAAGAGTTTAATTCATTTTTCTGACCTTGATTTTTTTGTAGCAACAGCTAAGAGCACATATTTCAAAGAAGTGCAAAATTTATGCCCATCCTAGAAAAAGAAACAAGTTTTCTGGAATCAAACATAATTTCAGCACTGTCACTACAATCACTCAGTACCCATTTGCATTTTCTTAAAACACCAACACACTTAAGTCCACCCAGCCTAGGAGCAAGGAAACTTAAAGGTACAACACACAAAGGATGTGTCCTGCAGTCTTACATTCAGTCTTACATTAAGCAACAGAGTTAAAAGTTAAAGCCCTCTGTTACCCTGAAGAACAACATGTTAAATGCCGCAGAGCAATTGCTCAGCAGCACTGATAAGACACTGCTCGAGGAAAAGCAGGCTGACTGGATGCCCTTCTCCAGCACACAGCCATCAGCACCCCACTCGGCAGTAGTGTTATTGCACGTCCACCAGTCTCAGGTGAACAGAATTCAACTGGAACAACATTATGGATGAACCGGGCTCAGTAGTGCTTACTGATATAAATTCTGTTTAAAAGGTTTATGAAAATAAAAGAAGTACTGAGGGCACAGACCCGCAGGCCTAGCAGATCAACCAGCTCCAGCACTTCTCGCCTTCTTCCCTCAAGCTCCCTTGGCAGTGAAGCTTAGAGGTGCCACAGCCACGCTGCCCCCTTCCTTCAGGGCACTAACGCAGGCAACGAGGCTTTGATCAACCCCGACTCTACCGCACCCCCAGAACAGATGTCACCAGTGCTGACAGTTAACACGTTCCGGCTCCAGCAGCCCCACTCCTCCTAAAGGCCTGCGCCGACTGACAAACAAACCCAGTGCCGCCGCGCCGGGCCCCGCTCTGCCGCCCAGAGGTCCGGGCCCGGCCGGCTGCGGGCAGGAATCGGCACTGCTCCCCTCAGGGCCGCGCAGCTCCCGCCGCTCCGTCGGGGCCTTCCCGCCCTGCCCACTGCCGCCCCTCGTCCTCGTCGCCCCACACCCGAGGCCCGCGGCCTGGCCCGGGGTCCCGCCCGCGCGGCCTCCACACGGAGCTAGGAGGAGGGCGGGGAAGTGCCCTTCTCGCTCCGGAGCCCTCCAGCTTTCCTCAGGGAGCGGGGCCAGGGGGGAGGCACTCACTTGATCCTGGATCCCATGGTCTCTGGGGAGCCGCATAGGCCCGAGCCAGAGAGAGCCAGGGGGAGGGGGACCGGAGCTCGGCGGGCCGCGCTACCTCCGCCACTCGCCCCCTCACTCCATCCCGGGCAGCGCCGCCGTCGCTCGAGCCGAGTCACGGCGCGGGGGCTGCCGGGAGCTGTAGTGCGGCGGGGCCATTGGCAGGGAGCCGGACTGCCGCGCGCCCAGCGGCGGGAGGGCGGTAACGGTCGCCGCGCGCTCCCGACGGCTCCGCCCCCGCGGCTCACCTCAGGCGGGTGGAGCAGGGCTCGCGCCGAGCGCGGGACGCACCTGAAGTGCGGCGCGAGCCGGACGGATGTTGGTTTCCTGCCCATTCCCGCTCCTCGCGTCCCGCAGTGGGGGCTGGCGGGTCAGCCACCCCCTGAGAGGGCCCAAGTGTTCCACGGGCGCGACCCAGAGCTCTGGGGATGGATGCCCGCGGCAGGTGAGGGTCAGGACCGTAAAGCCCTGCGAGGAGGCGAGCGTCTCCGTGCCGCTGTGCGTGACGATAACGCGTTGCGGCCCGCGGGCGGAAAGAAAAGTCCGGAGCCTGAGGGCAGCCGAGAAGGCTAAGAGAAAAGACGAGTTGCCACAACGAGGGGCTTGATGCTCCTCCAGAATCACGATAGAACATCCTACGCAGCTGGTACAGAAACAGAAGCTGCTGAAGGGCAGTAGGAAGTACTGCGAGCCCGAGTAATGTCACACGGGGACTGGAGGCTTCTCAGAGAAGCGGAGGGGAGGTGAAATGCAGCCCGCTGAAAGGAGCACACAAATTAACCCAGAAGTTAGAGTGAGACAGAAAGCGTGCCTCCAGGGAGCTGGCAAACAGGAGCAAACAGGTACCCCCACATTATTGAACGTTTACAGGAGGTTGTGAGAAATCTTTGGGTAATTTCTAGGGAGTTTAACAATTTCTGGCTTTTGGAGTTAGAGATGATCTGCAGCTCGGAATAAAACGTTAGAAGTTCACTTTAGAAAGAGCTGCGTGCTGCAGGCTGGCTGCTCGGCACAGGGCTGGCGCTGAGCTGGGCGCATCTCTGCTGTGCCTGCTGGGTCCTCCTTCAGGTAATGAGCACAAAGTTAAGGTAAGTGGTTACGCAGGGAATCCCGGAAGATATATTTACAGTTGCAAGTTGAAATGTTTGGGGTGATGAGAAAAAGGAGCACTACCAATCCTCACCTGAGTATTAAGTGGTGTAAGAATTGAATTTCATGCACTAGGCTGAGAGGGCAGCAGAGGTGGGGGATGAACTGGTGTGGGCTGGTAAGTAACAAATGCAAGAAACAAATGGCTTTTAAAAGTAGTGTTTGGGGATTACCTTTAAACATTTCTCAGTGAAATGTGTATTTGGTAGGTAACTGATTTGTAATGAGACTGTTTTCCTAACCCTGAGGGAAGAAATAATATCAGCAGCCCTTTGTAGATGCCTTTTCACCAGCGGCTTCTCAGCCTATATAATGTGATATGAATGGCAGAACTTTTGAGCAGGAAGTATTACAGTTACACAGATCATGGAATAGGTGTGGAGAATTGATCTGAAAGCCAATGTGTTTGTACCTTTCAAAAAGAAGTTGATCTACTTCAAATAAAGTAATACAGAGTAGATTAATAAGAATAGAGTAATAAAGAGGAATTAAATCAATAAAAACAGGTGGAATAAGATCATTAAACGCAGCATAGGTGTTCCTGTTCAAGTGCAGGAAGTTTTTCTCTCTGCCTAGTATTACTTCATTTGTCCTCCAAACTGTAGAACTTTTTTTTGTTTTTTTTTTTTATTTACCTGGGATGTTTATCTAAATCAGCTTCTACTAGGTAGCTCAAATTGCATTTTCTGTAGTTCTGTTGATGGCAGTAAGGTCTGCAGCTGGTCCAATCTTTTGATGGTAATTGTATGAGAGTTACAAGGCAGTAGCAGTGGCGAAGCCCCTAAGGAAAGGGGGTTTAACCACATAAGGGTTATAGCAATGCCTCCTGGCCTATCCATGGAGCAGTGTTTTTGAATGTCTGAGAATGGATGAGCTGATTAACCGTGAATCACCCTCCCAAAAGAGATGAAGTATTAATAGCATACAAAAGGGAAGCAGAAGGGAAACTTCAGGCAAAGGAAAATAATCCAGGAATTAAAAGACTGGTGAAAGCCTTAGGATGCTTTCCAGATTAACCAGAAAAGCTTAATTCAATACAACAGAAATAAAGATTTTACGTTATATCCTCTAGGATGAATTTGGGTGAATATGGCTGAACCTACATTTTAATACCTCAGGTACCCACAGCAATGAAAATTCATTTTATTGTAAAAAACGTAGCTCTTGCTTCTGCTCACTTAGTGACAACCCTTCTGAACTGTGCTGTAATCTTGATTTACTTGGGAAATAGTCTCAGCTGCATCTCACACAATGGAAGTGCCAAGAAACAAAATGCTGGCTTCATAGATCAATAGCTGCACCTAAAAGGTTATGCCTTGAAACAGAATATTCTGCTACCTGAATAACATTGATTACAATGTGCATGTATGGTTTTCCACAATTCTCAGTGGGCTAAGATTAAGAAAATCCTTGTAAATGTTTGTAAACCAACAGAAATCTTGTTAAAGATAACATTTTTTTCCTTGTGTGAGTTATTTAATCAACCTCAAGTTGGTAATTCTTGTCATTAACAAGTATGCCTCATGAGTTGTGGATCAGGTCATTGGCCCATCATATGTGCAAACAGCCTCCAGAAGCGTTCACATATGTTGCTTTGGGAAAAAAAGAGCCTGTTCCCAATGCTCCCAAACTATGATTCATCAGGCATTGCTAGGACTGCTGGTTAGCCTCCAGAGGCATTGGTTTGTGCTCTCAAATGTATATAATTTGGCGTATGTACCTACTCATACAGATGGAAATAGTTACATCTACTTGTTTTCTGCAACAGTAATCTGTAACTGTAAAGTGCCACTTATCTCTGGGAAATACAAAACAAATTACAAGAACTAACACACACACAAAGCAAAAAGGAAAGTTGTTAGAACATAACTGACAAGTTAAATCAAAGGTCTGTCTAGCTCAGCATTCTGTCTCCAACACAGGATACTGGCAGTGTTGAAGGAAGCGTGTAAGAGCAGGGGAGTATCTAAGAATCCTCTCCAAGCCTCCCATAAATTCAAGTATTTTCTCAGTGCTGTTTTTATATGATACCTTTGGGTGGATTTTTATATTTCCATGGATTTGTTGCTTTTAAATCTATAGTTTAAAATCCAATCCCTTTCCTGGCATGGAGTTTCCATAGGTTGATGGAAGGCCAGGTAAAGAAAACACTTCCATTTGTCTGCATTGAATCAGCCAGAATTATTTAGTTTGATCTCCATTAAATCTTATATGAGAAATACCAGGGAAGGACTGTTTATCTTTTTCATGTCATCCATGACTTCACAGACCTTATGGTTTCCTTGGCAAAATAAGAAACACAGAGGTATCTCAAGTTTTCTCATAAAGCGAAAGAGGTTCTTTCCTTCTGCGTCTGCATAGCAGTGTGACATTATGCGTACTTTCTATATAGTACATAAAAAGCTAAGTAAGCAGTGAAATACCTTTCCTTTTAAGTGTTTGAAGTACCGTACACTGAATGACCTTTTCATTCTCCATTCACAAAGAAATACGAAATAACTATTCTTATTTCTGAAACCCGTGATTATACCAATAGCTATAACTCAGGCCCATGAAGTCCTTTCATATAAAGAGCCATGCTGGAGACTCATTCCCTTAAAGAAAAGAGCCCAGGATGATTGACCTGAAATGACCTCTTCATTTTTTAGTGAAAGGAGATCTAAATATGGCAAACATTTCCTTGTGCTGCTGTCTCTTAAGAGACTACATTTTCCCCCATAAGAATCTCCTATGAGAAATATAAAGAAAAAGTTAATCAGTTTTACAGGAAAGCTAGCAAAATGTCTACTAGAGCTATCAGTTCAGAAAATCTATTTTATTCTGTTTCTTATTTCCACTGCTTGGATCACTTACAACATGGATCATATTTTCTGTTTCAGGGTCTTTAAACATGCATTTATGTTGTTGACCTAAGGAATTAAAGAATCACAAGTCTGCCACCGTAAAAAATGGTGTTAAAATTACTAAAATTAACTATTATTTTTAAAGAAACACAAAAATCCTATTTTTTCTTTCAGTTTGCCCTATTTTCTCTTTTTTGAGAGAAAACTAATCCAAGCATCCAAACTGAGGTCAGAGGATGATTATTAAAAATTGTTCTTTTCTTTAAATTTCATTTTGGAATGTTGAAAAAGTCTGTGCTCCTTCTCACATCGTTCAATACCTGGAGCTAGTGATAAAGCTCAGGTCAAAGAATTACTGATCTAGCTGGCCATTATATTTCTTTGAAAGCAGAATATAGATTTAAAAAAACACAATTCAACCTGAAGCCCAGCTGAAGAACTACAGAAACCATGAAGCACTGAGATTTCAGGAGAACTTCTGCTTTGTGGGAGATCAGGTGGTGCTTCAGTTTGTAGCTTTAAACTGTTCCAGATTCTTTCCATTGCAGAAATGGCCACATTATGAAAAAAATGAAATAGCACTTCTGCGATGTTAGCCAGCTGTTTGGGCAATGGGAAAGTATGAAGTCAAGCCAAGATTGAACTGCATAATGTTAAACCAAGATTAACTTCATACTTTTGTGTGGAAATTTGATTTAGAAATGTAGGGATTCGTGGCTGACCTGCAGATGATCCATTTATTATCATTTATAATTGTCCTTTGTTTATTAAATTACGTAAAACATGCAGCTTTATTCTTGACACACTGCAGGTTCACAAGACAGGAGAGGTTTCTTCCCAAACTGTATTTGTTACTTAAGAAGAATAAGAGCACTGTTATTTCTTGATATGTTTGATTCCATTATGATTCCATTCCACACTGGGGAAAAAGTCCCAGGACACAAACCAAAGTGCTCTTCTCCAAATTTCACTCATTTTATACATCATAAAAAGTCAATTTATTTATGTAATTACTGTAACTGTACCACATTGAGATGTAATGAGGAAATACCACAAGCTAGGAAGTACCATCCCCTTCTGTATTTAATGAAGGAGCTTTAAATAGTAAACTGCAGCAGACTGTTTTTGCGAGAC